GAAAAAAAAAACGTGGCTAAATAAGGAAGAAGCAATTGTCACTTATTAGCGAGTTTATCAAAAAGTATCACGTGTAGCCGACACCACGTGCAAATATGTTTGATGGGATTTGAAGGAATAAAAAAAAAAAACAAAAAAAAAATTCCATTTCGTATCCAAACAATCGACTTCAGAAAGTAAAACCCGATTATGTTACATTCTTTATGGTGAAGGATTTGGAACCATTTCCGCACCGTGGAGAGAGACGTATTACACGTGACATAGATCTGACAACGTAATCTTCAGAACAATATTCTCCGATGTATCTAGTTCGATGCACAATGGAATTGTATTCCAACTTATACAATGTAGAGACGATCATGGTTAAGCAAAAACAAATATTTGATCTTATTTTCTTCTAAAGCAAAGGGAATGGCTAAACAAACAGAAATATGTAGGTCCTATATAAAATTGTTATTTTCTATGTTAATTACTACGCTGATGTTATGTGACAAATGTAAAACTATCCGGATGGAGAGAAGATGGGAAATTTTCTTGAGGTTTGAAGAAAATTCAGGGGTTTGTAATGGTTCCTTTCCTTATAAATTAATCGACAAAATAAATTCTTTAAAATTAGTTTTTATTAACCCCTCAATATTTAGTGTTTAAAAAATAAATAAATACTAATTTTTAGCATGATTGTCACTAGTTAGAAGTGTCAATCTTTCATCATTTTTAATTTACTAACTATATTTCCATAATATTTTACTCTTTATTAACTTGTTTTCTTTATACTAAAGATTTAAATATTGTATTATGACACGTTTCGTGTATTTCTTTTCTTAATTACTGTAGTAATTAGCATAAAGAATCAGTAGGCCACTTTATATTTAAATTAAGAATACGTCTTGTTTACAACATAGAGATTTGGAATTATTTAGACAGAGCGATAATTTTATAATTTAATATATTTAAATATTTTTTAATAGTTTACCAATAGATGGCAGCAGGTAACAAAAAAAATTTTTTTTTCTTCTTTTTATTTTTAAAAATAATTTAAAATTGTAGAAATTAAAAAAAATTTACGAATTAATTAATTAATTTTTTTATTTTTTTAAAATTTTCCTAAAAGTTTTTAATCGATTATTTCTAATTCTAAGCAGAAAAACTATTGAATAGATAATAATAGGAGGAGAGTAAAAAAAAAAACAAAAATAAATTGAAAATAAAAAAAAGAGAAATAAATATTTTATATTCCGTAATACGAAATCGAAGAAATTTTAAAACTGGAGGAAAAAATAAAATTTCAATTTATCGTCAATAGAAAATTTTCCAGCTTGGAAAAAGAGAGAGAGAGAGAGAGAGAAAGAGAAGATGGTGATGGAAAAGAGGATTAGAGGACAACATCGATTCGCGTTAGAAACCAAAATGCTGTAAATAAACGATATCCAAAGAAACAATAAAGATAAAATTAAGATAGAAAGATGAAACTGTATGAGCCTGTCAGGAGGATCAAAGGAGACAGGTACTGTACCTGAAGTATATAGAAATTGAAAATCTCCAAAAAAACAAGGATGACCAAAGAGAAAACCATTCGTATAAACAAGATGAAAGATAAACTAAATAAAAGAGAAAAATGGAAGTAAAAAAAAATATTATAGATATATATATATAAACAATATTAAAAGATTAAAAATTGAAAGTATTTTTTATTACTATTTATATTTATACAAGTGATAAATACACTATATATCTATCTGTCTAACTATGTCAAGGTCACGAAGGTGGGAGTTTACCTCTTCTCATTGGGAAGAATTAAAACTTAAATAAAATTAAATGGTAATTTGTATGTAAATTATATTTATTTTGTATCCGTTCAGTTCCTCCTTAGTTTACTGTATTGTAGAAATGAATAAACTATGTAATGTGTATTTTTAAACTACTCTCTTTTAAATAACCTGCCCAAGAGAGTGAACATTAAATATTAAATAATGTTTTTAAAAAGTCAAAACAAAAAAAAAGGAAAAAAGTACATTAAAGGAGATGATATTTCCTTATTATTTATTTACTGTTTACAAGGAGTTTTCAATTTCTTTATTATAATAAAGAAGGTATTTGTATAATAAATTTACTGTTTTAAGCATTTTTATTTATTTATTTTTTTACTAATATTAAATTCTACAAGTAAATAAGAGAGGAATACAGTTATGATTACAGTTGTGTATTGATTGCAGGCCAGATAATAGCACCAGAGGGTCTTTAAAATCATCACCCCAGTAAATAAATAACGTATAAGAGAATTCAATCACAATCAGTACGGTTTTAAATTGAAACCCGACCAGGAAAATAACAGTAAAGCCTACTTCTCGGATATCCATATTCAGTTCAAAAACGGTCATAGCCTAATCTGCACCCATTAGAGAGGTTGCGACTGAAGTTTTCATCTGTAAAACGTGAACGTCGAGCGCCATTATCTTGTAAGCGGCGCTAGACGTTCGACGTTCACGTTTTAAAGATGAAAACTTCGGCCGCAACCTCGCTATTATATCTTAACATAATCGTAACAATACATATTCAATAATTAAAATATTAATTATTATTTGCATATTTTTCGATTATTCATAAAGTAATTGTAGAAAACCATAATAAGATAATCAAGTTGTGTTTTATTAATATATCTGTCAGAAGTTCATAGAAAATGAAAGCGCTAGAGTTATGCCATACAATTGTGAAGAACCAAATTAAACAGAAGTCGGATGCATTTATGGTTTTTCTTCATTGCTTTATGATTGAGAAAGGAATAAAATGCGTGAGTTCGGGCAAAACTTGGTCTTCCGATGAAAAATCCGAACTTCTACCAGAAAATTGGAATTCTCAGAAAGATTCTTATAATATACGATACATGTCAACAAATAATCATCGATATATTTTGAATGTTAAAAGTTCCGGTAATTCTATTCGAGTGAAACTGGAGAATCTCGATAATAAACAATCATCTCGAATATCTTTTGACATCGATAACTTCATAAATGAAGATTTCAAAAATTTCCACTCTGCTTTTAAGAATTTAAATAATCTCGAAGAAGAAATGGATAAAATGTTCAGAGAAATTCGTTCTCCCGAAATTAACTGGAGCGGTCGAACGAAAGACAGCGATACCACATCTACTCATAAAAGAAATTTTTCGGTTCCTGAAATTGGCGGAAATGATTTAGATCCTTTGGGAAGAGGAGGAGGAAGTGGAGGGATGCTAATGAGTGAACCTCGTCCCGCACCTCCCGATCCTACTTCTGGAAACTTGGATTTTGAACCTGAAGTTCGTATTCTTCCCGAAATGAGATTTGATCCCATAGGACCGGATACGAAAGCTCCCAAGCCTCCTAAACGAGATCCCGATCGTTTAATATAATTTTCTCTCATTTACCAAAATTCTTCTGTCGACTTTCAAGTATAGAAGCTGAATTTAACATTTAAATTTACAATAGATATATAATTAATTTTTTAAAAAATGCTTTGTAATTTTATCATATAACTAAAGAGTAATTAAACATTATTTAAAACGTCTTAAAAATTAAGACGACTAACGATTAACCTCATTGAATTTATGCTCATTTTTCATTAAAAATTTTTTCTGTTTCCATTTTATTTCATATGCCATAGCCATTTATTACAGTTAAATTTTCAAAGTATTATAGATTTATTATAATATTCTCTAATTTAGATGTTACAAACGTAAAGAAAACTACACGTGGCCAATCTATTACAGAGGCATGGACCCGCCATCATTGTTCAGTAGTCAATATTTAACCATTTCGCATTCAATAATGATTTCTTGACGACTGTAATCTCCGCCATCCACACGCCCTGCACAGAAGCTAAAGATCGCGTTACGAGTCCTTTTTAACTGATTTTTGTATTCAAAATTTTTCAGTTTAAAATGTTTTATCTGACAATCTGCTATTATAAGAAGATAAATTAGATATATAAATTATATTTTTTAGCATATTGACTCATTAACACTTTGCATATAAGTTTTGATTTAATTAAAACAAAACTACTTAGTATAGGGTTACCCGTGCCGAACGGGTCAGGATAGGGACCAAACTAAGGCAGAATCACTGGTCCTCCAGATTGGGGGTTGTAAAAATTTTATTTTGTTAAAGGGCAAAAGGAAAGAAAGACAGGGTCTGGTAGTGGTGGGGCTCCTGTCTTCGACTTAATAAGGGAAATGACTGAAAGTAAGTTAGATATTCTTTGAATGAGTAAGAGAAGAGTGAACAGGAATGTGTTTATTTGGTCTTGTGTGCAAGAGACAGAGCAATCAAATGCAGTAGGTGTAGTTTATAGGAGTAGGTGTTTTGGTTTATGTATTTTCTACTCCTTCATGCTTACATTAAGGAGTATTCTTTCATTCATTTGCTTATACTAGCAAATGAATGGGGGTGTGCTTCAAAGTGAAGATGCAGAGTGATTATTGCCGTTGTGTACATACTACATGGACGCTGAAAAGATGACTTTTGGAAAATGTTAAGAGATGTCTTGGGTGAGAGTGACCCTCAGGAGCATGTGATTATAACTGAAGATATGAATGGATGAGTGGGTGTAAAAAGAGATGTCTGAGAGAGTGCTGGATCTATGTGGTGATCTCCAGGTGAACAATAATAGAAAGCAATTAGTTGAGCTGTGTGTGAAGAGACCTATGAGTGTCCAACACCCTTTTTCCACGCAAGACCATTTATCATTACAGATGAGGAAATCATACATAAGGTCAGAGGACTATAATAGATTTTGTTGTGTATGATGATAGATTGAGAGGTATAGTGGAGGATACAAGCATTATGAGAGGAACTAACTGTGGCTTGGACCATTACTTAGCGGTACTGAGGGTAAAAATGAGGATTGGGTGGTGGAGCAAAAGGAGGAAAACAGTGATTCTGTAGTGAATGAAAACACAGTGCCTGATGAGTAGAAAAGATGAGTATAAAGAGCATGTTGCATTGAAACCAGGAAAAGTGTATGAACAGTTGAATGATGTGGAGGAGGTTTGGAAGCATTTCCAATCTTGTGTGATAGAAACAGCAAAAGAGGTATGTTGTGTAACAAGAGTAGACTGTGAGGGACTGCATGAATGAATGTCAGAGCAAGCAGTGAAATAGAAAAAGGACACAACGAATGAAGAATAGACTTAGCATTTACAAGGGGCTTTTGAGAAAAACAGAAAACTGTTCTGGAAGCAAATAAAGAGTACACATGGTAACAGAAAAAAAAGTGTATCCTGTGTATGAAGCGCAAATGGTGAGCTACCGTGTGATGAATAGGTAGTGTGAATAATTTGAGAGCCTGTTGAGTAGCAATGGAGATAGCATGAATGGAGGAACAGTTGCAGAGATATATGAAGGTGGTGGATATGGTCCTATTCAACTGAATAAAGTTAGGAGTGCAATAAGAATGTGAAATGGCAAATCTTGACCACAGAAATGTTAAAATATGGAAGAATGGATGTTCTGACTCTGCAACTTATGTTGGGATAAGGGATTGGAGAAATGCTGTGATTGTTCCAATACATAAAGGAAAGAGTGAAAGTTAAGACTGCAAGAAGTTCCATGGCATAAGCTTGCTGAGCTTACCTGGAAAAGTGTTTTCATGAATGTTGGTTGACAGAATTGAAAAGTTAACTGCAAAGCAAATATGGAAAGTGCAATGTGGATTTATGAAAGAGAATGGGTGTATGAACCAGATCTTCACATTGAAATGATTGTAGAAAAATGTTTGAATGTGGGTAAAAAAGTATTTGCAGTGATCATGAGAAAGCATGCAATAGAGTGACTAGGGAGAAACTGTGGCAAGTATTACGTAATTATGGAATGAGTGGTAAACTACTTAGAGGTGTGAGAGCAATGTATGAAAATAGCAAAGCATTGTGTACAAGTGGATGGTAAAATGTCTGAGTGGTTCACAATTGAGAAGAGTGCAAGACAAGGATTTGTTATGTTCCTTGGTTGTTTAATGTTTTCATGGATGAATGCATGATGAGATCCAGAGTATTTGAGTGTGGAATGAAAATTAGAAATGAACGAGTCTGTTGTTTGTTGTACGAAGATAACACTGTGCTATTAGCAGAGTAAGGAAGAGCTTCAGACACTTGTATCTACTCTTGAAGAGGTGTGTTAGAAATACATGCTGTGAGTGAATGTGAGTAAAACTAAAGTGATTGTGCTTGAATACAAAGGTGAACAAATGGATTGCATGATTGAGCTGGATGATGAAAAACTGGAACAAGTGAATAAGTTTCTACATTTGGGAAGTATGATAGATAGTAATGAAGGATATATGGTGAATACTGGAACTCAAGTGGTGGGTGCAATGAGTAGATTTGTAAGGGATAAAAGGATGTCCAAAGAGGCATGAATGGCTGTGTATGGGAGTGTTGTGGTTTCTGTGTTCAGTATGGTAGTGAAACTTGGATATGGCAGAAGAGTCACAGGAGTCACGTCACTGCATGGGAAATGAGGCATAACAAGGAAAGACTATGTGAGAAATGAACAAGTGCTGGAGGAGTGTGGTAAGAAAGAGGATGTGGTTGGAAAGGTGGGGAAATCAGCCACTACAATGGTTTGACCATGTTGAGAGAATGAAAGGAGAAGAGAATATACATGGGGAAAGGTAGATGGAAAACACAGTAAGGGAAGACAGAGAAAGTCTTGGTTGGAACAAGACCTGAAAGAACATAAGGTGTTGAGTCAGAAGGAGAAGGTGACAAAGAGTGCTAGAAGAGGCATGATATTATGAAAATAATTATAAAAGAAATCTCAAAATAATTTTTTTTAATACAAAAATTTATCTTATCATAAGAACCTTACATAATTTTGATACAATGAAGATTTAACAATTTACATTTTGAAAATAAATTACAAAAGTAGCTATGTGAATTTTTCAAATTTCATTGCATAGTAATTACAACAAAATTATAAGGTTTATTATACTTGTATATATATATACCGTATCTATGTAGGATAGCATAAACAATATGCAATGTAAATGCTTCATTAGAAAGCATAAGCTAAAAACTATAGCATCCAGATAATTTAATACCCAAAAGGAATCATTGCTGTTTATTACAAAATATATTTTTCATTATTGTTATGCATGTTGATCAAATTATAATATATTTACATTCTTAATAACAAAATGAAAAGGGAATGATAATGTTTTATTTTATACATTATCAAAATTAATTTCATCTATAAAACAAAATAGATTTGTCATTACCTGCATTATATCACAGAAAGATATTTCCATATACAAAAAGGCATAAATATTTCAAATGAGATTGCTGATATTTGTAATTTTCATACAGAATTAAACAACGTATTCCAAGTGATATTTACAAAGATTTGCATAATATTAAGTACACATTTTTTATTTTAATTTTCAAGCACATAATATTTAATTGTTACAATATCTTGCTTACGTTTATTTTTTTTTATTTAAATAAATCTTCAAAGTGATTTCTTTCTAATATATAACATTTTCTAAGAACAAATAAATCATCATTAAATCTTCACAAATCTCACTNAATATTAATGTAAAATTAAAATTTAGCAAATGAATATAATAATAAGACGAAAAAAAAATTGAGATGTTAAATTAATACGCGTTTATGTAAAACTAAACGCCCTTGTAACAGGCGAAAGCCTATTACGACAAATAAAGATTATTATTATACTTTAAAAAAAATCCATTTAAGTGAAGAAAAGGAGTAACTGGAAGCATTTCAATTAATTTTTTGCATTATAAAAAGGAAGAAATTACAACAAGTGTAGTTATATCTCTACCAAGACATAAAAATATTCTTAAAAATGTAAACAGAATTTTTTTTATTTGCATTTTTTTAAGATGATAATCAACTACCTTTTTTATTTATTTTTATTTTTTATTAATAGAAATCAGCACACATTTTCTCTATAAATTGATTTATTTAATACGAAAAAAAGAAAAGGAAACAGAAAATATAAATCTATAATTTTGTATCGTGTTTTTTTCTATAAGAATTCAATCGAATTAAAACTATTCTCGACTTATAATATAATAATGCACACCCTATAATTTATATCTATACAGTATATAGAATTTACGCATAACGATTACTATTATTATTATTTATACATTTTTTTAAATACGAATACGTACACAAATTCATCCGTTTTAAGTGCAAAATGACGTTACAAAATCCTAACTTAACACTTGTTTCGTAAATATTTAATGAAAATATTTTTTTTTTACGTTCAATGGAGGAAGTCAAAAAACTCGTTTAAGTGCACTATGCATAAATATAAAGCTTTGTATTGTATATCATATTCCATAAAAAGAACCAATCAATCGAACAACAAACCTTCGACTGCACGATAGCTAGCAATTGAACTTCTAAAAAAAAAGTCATGCAGTCTCCATCTCATGAGAAATTCTTTGTACTGCATTTTTATATCCCGTGGGAAAAAAGCACGCATACACAATACACACACACACACACACACANAGAACCTTACATAATTTTGATACAATGAAGATTTAACAATTTACATTTTGAAAATAAATTACAAAAGTAGCTATGTGAATTTTTCAAATTTCATTGCATAGTAATTACAACAAAATTATAAGGTTTATTATACTTGTATATATATATACCGTATCTATGTAGGATAGCATAAACAATATGCAATGTAAATGCTTCATTAGAAAGCATAAGCTAAAAACTATAGCATCCAGATAATTTAATACCCAAAAGGAATCATTGCTGTTTATTACAAAATATATTTTTCATTATTGTTATGCATGTTGATCAAATTATAATATATTTACATTCTTAATAACAAAATGAAAAGGGAATGATAATGTTTTATTTTATACATTATCAAAATTA